CTGTATTTGGGCAGACTAGTTCTTTTTGTTATTTAACTTATGAGTATATTTCAAAATTCAACAATCTTTTATAGACTTAATCAATTATCTAATTACATCTAATATTTAATACATATCACAAAATAATATGTATTATATATATTTATCATTATACTTATAGATAAGATTGTATTAATTTAATAGTATTTAGTTATAAATATAAATATATTGGTTACCTTTTTTCAAAAAAACAAATATGGAATTTTTAAAACAATTTTTTTACAATATTATTGCCCATGCAGAACCTGAAGATATTCTGCCAAACATTGATATAACAAAAAAAGATATTTGTATGATATGCAAAGATGTTATTGATCTAAGTCTTGAGGAATCAATTACAATTTTAAGCTGTAAACATTTTTATCATAAAGAATATATTAGTGATTAGTGTCCACTATATTAAGAAAAAAACTAATGAGATTGAAAATATACCAATTTATTATCAAGAAAATACTTATTCTATTAGCTCATTATTGAATTTAAAATGTGCTACTTTTCTACTTCATTTACTAAATCCACTGAATTCACCATGTTTATTGAATCTACTGAATCTACCAGTAAATCTGCAAAATCCATCAACCTTATTAAATCTATCAAATCTCTAAAATCTATTGCTTCTGTTGAACCTACTACTTCTACTTCTGCATCTATTGAGTCAGTTAAACATGTTAAAATATTAGTATCTACAACAAAGTCTACATCTACTAAATCTAAACTTACCAAATCTAAAGAAAAATCTAAAGCAATATCTAAAGCAATATCCAAAAATATTCAAATGATGCAGTTAATTGAAAAACTAAACACGTCTGTTAGGAAAGAAGACAAAAATAATAACATTAACAATAATAATATTAACAATGATAATAATATTAATAACAATTATAATAATAATGGTGATATGTATAACAGTTATTTCATTTTTATACAATCTTAATTCGTGCTGAATCTGATATATTTAAAGCAAATCAAGTGGTGATTAGAAGTTAGTATGAATTTGCGGATAAGTTTGACAAACAGATTAATCAAACATTAAGGAATCAAAAAAAAACTAAACAGAGAAGTTCTAAAAAAGCAGCAATATTTGCAGTATATGATAAACTTTTAAACCGCTTTACTGATATTACACAGGTCACTTTGAGAAAAAGTGTAAAAAAATAAATAAGGTTTATACCTTATTTAAAAGCATAGATATCAACAAAATTGAAAGAGTTAGTACTTTTAGTACTTACAAAATTTCAGAATTCAATACATCACAAATCACATATATTATTAAAAATGTAACTATTGTAATATTAATTTGATTAGTTGCAAATGTCTAGTAATTAATTGCTTATATAAATTAGTTATATCTTAGTAAAGTTAATTTAAATTTGAATTAATTTTAAAACCTTTAAATTACAAATATAAAATATATATTAAATTGTATAAATGATATTAAATTATCAAATATACAGTATAAATTAACATTTTCAAACATAACTAATATATATTATATTTATTATATTTAGGATTTATTATAAAAAGTTTGCTACAGCAAGCTTTGCTATAATTGGATTTATAACCTAATCAGAATTTATAAACCAACACATATAAATAATTTATTATAAAGAAGTTTATTATAGTAAGCTTTGGGTTTATAAATGAATCTGTATTTATGAACCAAATTGACAAATAAATAAATAATTTGATTGAGTCTATAAAAGATTGTTGAATTTTGAAATATACTCATAAGTTAAATAACAAAAAGAACTAGTCTGCCCAAATACAG